GCTACTAGTATAGCAACATAGAGCTGGCGCACATACTACAATCTTAGCCACACAAGTGGCGCAAATAAACCAGACCACAAATACAACCGAAGAATAGAACTAGAACAGAAAAGTTGAACAAGATAACACGGTTTAGCTTACTACTGCTGCTATTACTATTATATTATCTTGTGTCCTGAGCACATTACTGTACGGCTGCAAATCCTGGACTCTCTATGCTCCACAGAAAAAAAGACTGAATACCTTCCATATGCGCTGTCTGAGACGCATCCTTGGTATATTATGGCGAGACCTTGTCTCCAACGAATGTGTGCTCACAAGAGCAAAAATACCATCAATGTATTGTATACTGAGGCAAAGACGTCTGCGCTGGCTGGGACATGTCTCCCGCATGGAGGATGGTCGTATTCCAAAAGGTCTCCTAAATGGTGAATTGGTAACTGGGAATAGACCTACAGGAAGGCCAAAGCTGCGCTATAAATATGTATGCAAACGTGACCTAATAGATACCATCATAGGCACAGAGACATGGGAAAAATCAGCTGCAGATCGACTACTATGGAGACAGAAAGTGAAAGACGGACTGTCAAATTTTGAAAGAAACCGAACACAACGAGCTGTGGAGAGGAGACACCGGAGAGTAAAACCGCCTCACAACGAGGGAGTATCTGCTTTTGTGTGTATCCTGTGTGGCAAAGGCTGCCATTCCCGCATTGGACTTTACAGTCACAGCAGATGCTGTTCCCAAAGCCAGCGGCACATCTCCATAGTCCCCCGGGACTGACGGATGCCATTACGATTACTATTATAGTGCATCTGGGCGCGTCCCCGTCCCCACCCCTTTTTCTTTCCTCGTTGAGCTTCCTAGTCATAGTATATGTTTAGAGAAATGTATTTCTTCATGTCAGCTTGACTGTAGTCACACCTATTGTTCTTATTCTTCGTCTTCTTCTTCTGCTACCACCACCATTACTTCTATTGATGTTTCTGATGCAACTACTACTGTTACTGCTACTACTTCTACGAATTACTAGTGCCATCGGAATTGGAACTCTTTGCTGCTGAAGATAGGGACAGAGCGCTTATGGAAGTGTCGCTTCTACTATTACAACAACAACAATAGTGCATCTTGGCGCGTCCCGCCCCCTTTTCTTCCCTGGTTGAGCTTCCTAATAATAGCCATAGCATATGTTTATAGAAATGCGTTTCTTCATGTCAGCTTGACTGTAGTCACACCTATTTTTCTTATTCTTCGTCTTCTTCTTCTGCCACCTTTACCACCATCCTTTACTACAATTGCTGTTGCTGATACAACTACTACTACTGTTACTGCTACTACACCACTATTACTAATACCTCCACTATTACTACTACCACATGTGATATCTGTGTGTGATGGGAGACTGTCCAAAAATACATAGCGAGCGGTAAAAAAAAAAAAAAAAAAGGATGGGTGTGGTTTTATTGCAAATGTGGATGGACATAGTTTGAAAACGGTCTAACTTATAACGTTACAACGTCCCGTGTAAGAATGGAGGCGGAGGGCAGCATTACAGAGGCTTAAGAACAACACAGCTCGACATACCCATGCTTGAAAAAAATATATTTAAATAGGCGTCTGACACTTCGCATGCAGCATTGCCACTTTGGATGTTTTACATCCAGATTTAGATGTTTTCCCTTGCATTTAGATGGAGTTTGTAACGTTTAGATGGCAGATGTTTTTCTAGACGTTTTCATTTGGAGTGAATTTATCAAATCTAACCTAAGAAACAGGATGATTTGACCTCTTAAATGCTATCTTGACAATAAAATTCGGCCCGATAAGAGTAGGAAAAGGCTGTTCCACTTATCATCTCTGTCTTACTCCGGATGTTGCTGTCGATCATTTGAAACTTCAGATTTTCCCTAAATTAACACTTCTACAATCTCTATATAAACGTGCGCCCACTGCGATGAGGTGATCGCTTACTCCATATCACGACCGACTACAGCTGACGGGCCATGCTGCTGACATCACCGGGTCGGGCTACCAAAGAAATAAACTATTTTCGACAGTGGTGAGGGAAGACAACTGAAATTTTAACTTTTAAGTAACTACACCTTTTTTTAAAATGTCACAATTTTAAGCCGACTTTTCTTGATTATTGCTGTGGCACCCCTGGCATATGCTCACGGCACTTCGGGGTGCATTGGGCACCCAGTTTGAGAACCGCTGCGTTAACACATCATTAGCCTGACGCGTCACCTGGAGTCGGTTGTGCCCATATCGAGCCATTACTTTCCATCCTACTTCAAATGCCTCCTCCTGGTCTACAAATACCACAAAGTTGATGTTCTTGTCTGTTAAGTGACGATTGTATCCGTGCAGCTGCTATTTCTTCTAAAGCTCACAGACAGAGAAGTAAATATAAACAGATGATAGAATTAGAGACATCATTTGATGTAGACAGTGCACAGGGAAATCTGCATGACATGGCAAACGAATCTGATTGCTTGTTGGGAGATGGTTGAAGGTTTCTGAGAACTCATTTTAGAAAGTAATTAACAAAGAACACACACCCTAAAACACTAAATGGATATGACAGTGCAAGTCGCTATTTTATACACAATTTAAAAATGTCTATTTCTGCTACAATTAGAAAGAGACAAACACTGTTCTTTGGCCACATAATGAGAAGAGAGACATTTGAGAACATTGTAACAACTGGAAAGATCAGTGGAAACAGGGGTAGAAGCAGACAAAGAGGGGTGATGCTGGATGGGCTGAAACCATGCCTTGGAGGGAAATCATCAGCAACTAGGGACCGTGATCTGTGAAGATGCGTGAGCGCCTACGCCAGTCGACAGGGCACATGATGATGATGATGATATATCTGCCGTCAGTCTGCGACAAGAGTGACAAATGCATCAAGTGTGGTCTAGTGGTCAACCAGCAAGTCATGAGAGCCAGCCTGTGGTGGTCTGTGTCATTTCTTACCTTTCATTTCGTAAATCACTGGCAGTCTTGCCTGTGTTGGCTTGGAGATACAAAACATAATAGATCCAGGAACCTCCAAGCCACAAAGCCGTAATCCCTAGAAAACTGCGTCACAACATTACACTAGTACACAATACACATTATCCAATTCATATTATAAACACTGATTACTCACATGACAAGAATCACACCTACCAACCTCTAAACAATTATTTCCTTACGATTATTTCACTGTTTAATAAGATCAATATCATAATAAAACATTTAAAACCGAGGGTAATATGAGCTGACAAAGAGTGATCTTTGGGCGAGGACGTTTCTAAACTTAAAAAGTGGAAGTGTAAAACATATTTAACTCATTAGTACTGAGCAACTCACCAAATTTACTTGTTACTCCTTAATGTTTCCCCTCTTATCTCATTATTTATCCATTAGTTACATTCACTGAGTCAGGTCTATTCAACTAAGTTTACTCAGGGACCAACATGTTGAAAATGGGGAATCATCACATGCCAGAGGCTCGAGCCCCACCATGGAAACATCATTAATACAAATACAGTTGAGGCTGGATAAGTAGAAGTCGCAGGGACCTAAGAAAATGCTTCCACTTATCAGGACTTCTACTTATCCAGACAGCACAGACAATAGAGAAAATTTCCAGGACTAAGCTGGTCAATGAATTTTGTGCAAGGTGTTTTACCCACAGTCTTGGATGGCTGAGTGGCTAATTCAACGAGTCTCCCCATTTACTCACTCTTACACACTAGCTCACTTCTGATTGGGCGACCTTCAGCCTAGCTCACTTCTGATTGGTTGACCTTGAGTCACCGTATCTTGGCACAAGAAGACAGGGTGTTCTTCAATGCCTTTGATATCACGTGTTCTTTATTTCAGTATGCCAGTGCTGTTAAAACTCCAAAAACATCGACAGACTGGGTCTAACACATAATCCCTCTAGAGGGAGCTGCAACCTTTGTCCCAGGCATTCTCTTTCTCGGAAGAAAAATGTAAATGCAAGACATCATAGAAAGTAAACAACAGAGCGGCACACCCGTAACTCTCATGAAAGTAGACAGGTCCAAAAAATTTATCAATGGAACATGACCTACTTTCTCTGGGGACACTAACGTTGAATTAAATGGCTGAGTTGGTGGCTTTCATCAGGCATCTCCTTTCAAGGGTATTAATTTCACCTAGGTTAGCCTGCTATATTACGAACATACAATTTTTTATTTTGTCCGGGTTATTGTTTGATGCATACATATACTTTAGGTAGCCCTATATGCCTAATACATCTGAAGGCATGGAAAAGGGGTCTTACTTTACATAATTTTTACACACTTTAGGTAACAAAGGTTGGTCGTTAATCAAGGCACCAACTTTACTGCAGATGGGTAGCCCAATAACTGCTTCAGAAACTGTCAGTGGAAATCATACAAAATGTCATAAACTGTCACGTTTGAAAACTAGTGGAGAAAACATCAGTCCCAGTAAAATCTTGAAGCTTACACATGCAAAGTAAATGCATAAGGCAGCTTTCAGATGTACCAACACTAACAGTCCCACACTAGAAATGCAGCTTACTGATGATGCAAGCAGACAATTTCAAAAGCCGGCATTGTACATGCCACCATTTAAAATATAATCTGCCACCTATCATTTTTAGCGCAAAACTCAGAGTCTCACGAACACAACAGAAAACAAAAAAATTTCACATGAAATCCACAACTCACAGTGTTGCACCAAGCACTCAACTCAGCAGCTGGGTGACGGAACCTTTGGACTCCCAGTTAGTTAGGATGAGTTAAAGCAATATCTGTTTAGTACTCAAAGAGTTAATCAGCAAAAAAGCCTAGTGCTCTTTATTTTAAGTAGATAATAAATAAGGTATGCATGGTCACACAGCTTTTGGTGTGCCATAATGCCCTGAAAAGTGCTCACTAAGCACAGTTATTGTAGTGAGTTTCCAACCCTTGGTTGTGTAGATCCAATGAAGAAACATTACAAAGTAGATCTGTCATCAGCTGTTTTCATCCTCTGTCACTGATAGACTGTCATCTTGCTTGACCTCACTGACACCTCTGACAGACACATGGGACCAGCCACTCTGTTTAAATAAATATTGATTATAATCATCAGCTTCTTATCCAATATCAACTCTATATCAACAACTACAATCCACTCTATAGAACAACTCTGAAACAATTATTCCACTGTTTAAAAAAAACAACTGAAAATTTAACTGCTTATCCACTTATATGACAGTCTTACAACATCACCTATATTGTGATCACTGGAAAGATCTGTGAAAAGACAAGACAGATGAACAGAGAAAGTGAGAAGATTCTTGACGGCTTTTTGTCATGGCATGGAACACTGTCAACACACGAACTGATAGAAACAGTTGCCGATCACTGACGTGGAGAGGAGTGATAGTCCACGCCAGTCGGCAAGGTACTTGATGATGATGAAAATATCCCCATTTATCCACTCTATGGTATAAATATAAATCATAAACCCATTATCCATTCTATGGCACAACACTAAAATATTTACTACTGATCCACAATTTGAAACAATTGAAACAAACAAAAAACTCTTAAAATTAAACTACTTATCCATTCTATAACACAACTTTAAAACACCAATTGCTTTTCCATCATATAACATCCCTTAAACATAAAATGTTTATTCATTTTATGAAACAACCTTAAAACATCAATTGATTATCCACACTACAGCACAACTCTAAAAACATATCTAAAACGTCTAATTTGAAAAATATTTACTTGTAGGAACAAAAATTATGGCGCAGAAAGATTATGAGGTTTATCTATGAACAAAATCTAGAGAAAGACATCATTTTAGGTATAACAGGATGTCTGAATGTGAAACTATCTGGGTCTGGCAAGGATAGACATTTAAGAGAAACAGTATGATGTGTTTATGACCAATGGGCTGAAGGAATAATTAGGATCTAAACATTTGCTGCCCGGGCAGCGCCGTTATGTTACTCTTTTCGATTTCCAACTGCCAAGGCATTTTTTAGGTGCACAACAATGCACAAGGGTGTCCGATCTCACTACCCAGAGACCAGTGAAAATACTAGAAGTCCAAGTTCAAGTGAAAAGAATCGCAGCCCTTACCGGGGATTGAACCCGGAACCTCTATCACTCGAGGCGGACACCATGCGTCGAGACCACACAGCCCCCCCTCCCCCCAATGAATGACTAAAAATGTTCTTATTAAAAACTGAACCAGTGACTTCCAGAGAGCAAGGCAGACAGGTAAGTCACCAGTGATATTCTTGTGTTGTATGTTTATCAAAAAAAAAAGGTTAAAAAGCCGAAACATGTTCAAACCGCTTCTATGCATGCTTCAGTTTATTTATGGTCATTGGACTCTGTGGCTTTGATTTGTTCATTTATGTCATTGGACTCTGTGGCTTTGATTTGTTCATTTATGTCATTGGACTCTGTGGCTTTGATTTGTTCATTTATGTCATTAGACTCTGTGGCTTTGATTTGTTCAATCTTTGTGGCACACTGTTATGTCTGGTTTTTTTTTAAATTACACACTACCCATGTTTATTAGGTTCCGGCCACTGGTCAAAAAGGCAAGAAGACCAGAGAGTGGGTTAGCTTTTAACAGCAAACCTCATAAAGCTTCGCGGTCTTCGAGACAAACTTCTGCACGGACACTCCTGACAGCAGGGAGAATCCATGCACAGGTACCCCTATCCTGGTTGTAATCTTTATATTAGGCTAGTGTGTGGGTTTCTGTTTCAAAGAAAGAGGATAACCTCGTAGAAGAGTAGAGCTAAGAGCAACAGATATCATGTAACAAAATTCATGAAAAACCCTTAATCTGATGAGAATTCATAAAGACTGATATAAAAATATGAAGCCTAAAAATATGAACACAACTTACACCAATAACCACCTCCCAGTCAGTGCCAGATGGTTTAGCGCCGGTTATGCCCACTCTTCTGTAGATGACACCAGCTCCATGCTTCATTTTGCAGAAATAGGCATCTGCTATGATCCACACCTTAAACATTGCATGGAAAAACAGGAGAAAGTCAGGTTTTGGTCTCAGTAATACACAATGCTACAGGAAAATTCTGAGAATACCGCAGACCAAGAAGAAGAAGAATATCACCATCCTGCATGGCCTGAATATCAAGGAGACTGGCTCATAAACAGCATCTTCTCCCGCAAGCTGAGGTACTTTGGACATTCAAGTGCCATGTTGTTGTGGAAAGAACAGTGATGGAGGGTAAAGTTTCCAGAAAACGAGGTAGAGGCCAACTTCTGAAAATGTGGACAGACAACATTGAAAATGCATTGGCTATGAAAGCGAATGGGGCTGAGAATTTGCTGGAGAAAGAGAGTCTGTCAGGCTTGCCATGAAGAAAGAGATGTTCTGTAAATGAAATGCTAACTGATTGATTGAATACACAATGCAGCATTTGTAAAACGTAAAAGTAAACGACCCTGTTCTCAGCTTTGGTGTATTGGCCATATAGTGCTAGACCAGTTGTTTCCAACTATTTTTGATTTGTTGAGCTCTTTTACAATTAATTTATATGGCAGGGCCACTTGGGTCTACTTCACCCTATGTCTTACAAGTTGGTGTTTAAGGAGCCGAGGCAGAGGAGTTAGATAATAAATGAACTGAGAGCAATGAGATATCTAAACAACTGTGCAATGTCAATGCAACAACACTATCTTCTTACAAATTTGAATTTTACCATAGTAAATGGATTGTGTGGCAGGCCTGCTCACTCTTGTTGTCTGTCAATACTTTAGCAGCTAGTGTCAGTATTGTATTATCAGTGCCACACGTAGACATTAACAACAAAACCCCCTCCCCCCCCAAAAAAAAAATATCAATAACAGAATTGAAATGTTTACAGTGAATCCTAAACGTAACTAGAAAAAAATGATCAGAAATGAAGTCAAAAAAGAAGTTGGGATGGAACCAGTATTAAAATACATCAAGAGACAACAGATCAAATGGTTTAGACATGCGTCATGGCTGCCACCAGACAGTGTACTACAGAAAGCCCTGTCACTTGGACATAATGGAAGCACAACCAGAGGTTGACCACGCAAGTTATAGATGGATGGAATATCCAAGGCCATAAATACTAGCACCTATGCAGCATATACAAAGGCTACCACCCAATGCCTTTTCAAAACCTGACAGTGAAAGACAACATAGGAAGAAGAAGAAAAAGAAGAAGAAGAAGCAGCAGCAGCAAGAGAAAGAGGAGGAGAATAAGAGGACGTTTCTTAGTCTTTAATTTCACTAAATTATTTGTTTTCCTGGAGTCGCTGCAGAGTCTCTGGGAAGTGTACATGGGGTCTTAAGAGCTCTGCAAAGCACTGCTGTGCTAGAATTAATTTTTTATAGACCAATCTGCATTCAATGAGTGATGTCATACAGGCTGCCTTTATTTCCCAGGACATTACCTGGTACCTATGTTGGGCTGGGTCATTGTGAAAGATGGTTCAGCACCTCGGCATCCCAATAACATCTGACAACTTTAGTTCTCATTGTCCTGTCTATTTCTGATGAAGAAAAAGCAGATATTTCTTTCAATGCTGGGCTATCATGTGGAAGACCCAGGTTCGAATCTTTGGTAAGGTTCTGGAGTTTTTTCTGTCCGGGGCAAAAGTTAAGTTTCTAACCTACAGTCAATGGTGACTGCGCTAGCCACGTGGCCTTCAATCCCCAGGCTAAAATCCCCCCCCCCCCCCCCCCTGCAAAAGTAGTAATAACGGCAGTTTATGGCAGTAACATACCTGATCTCTGAGTCCCACGCTGACCCGTTTGACTTGGCCAGCAACCAGTTCCCAACCTGTTCCTTCGGGGAAAGTGGGTGTAATGTTTTCTCTACGCCACAGATTATCTGTGACAACAAAATAATTTTGCTTAAAACAAACACAGTGATTAATGATAGTACAAGTGGTTATGTACATGTGCATGCAAGAAAGACGGTAAGTAGGTAAGTAAGAAAAGGACCCACTTTTACGCCATTGGCACACTGGGCACATACATATGATGCTAATCATATTCTTACAGAATCTTCACAGGACTTTACCTGATACCCGTTTTAGGCTGGATCAACCTGTGTTTGACAGATATAGAAAGTAAACGAACATATTTTTTATTTTAAATTGGTTGATAATTGAGAACACATCGCTACCAAAAGTTTTGTTTCATTCTGAAACTCTTAATGGTTTAAAGTTTAAACAATGGATCAACATCATGGCACAAGGGTAGTACCCATAAGTGCTCCATTCTATTTATAACTCAAGTTTAAGTCCGAAGAATCTCAGCGCAGTGCAGGAAATCCAAAGCAACGCCGAGGATCCTGAAATACTTTGGGTAGATTTTTAACTCAAAGTTTTGCCCGGTCAGCATGGTTAGGCTACTCTTTTTGATTTCCAACTGCCAAGGGATATTTTTACGTGCGCATTATTACACACGAGCATCCAATCTTACTACCCAGAAACCAGGGGGAATTACTAGAATTCCATGTGAAAAAATCTCAGCTTTCACCGGGGCTTGAAACTCTTAAGCAAGTGTGCAGTGTTTGTGTGCTTTCACCTACTTTTAACCCATCCTGCATTTTTACGTGTGTGTGTGTGTGGGGTGAGGGGAGAGGAGAGGAGAGAGTTGGGAGAGGGGGAAAAAAGAGAGGCAGAGAGAAAGAGAGCAGGGAGAGAGAAAGAGATCATGACAGAGAGACAGTGAGAAAGAGAGAGTATTCTGCAGTATCTTTAATAACCACATTCACTGGTACAGGGTCATCAACTATGACCTGAGATATCATCCAAGTGCTGGTCAGGCTTATATCTCTCACCACAACACAATCCTGACTCACAGATTAGGTAGCAGAGATTTTTCTGGACAAATACAGTGGTCAGCTTCATACTGACCATATAACCCTTTACGTACCATGTGGTCACTTAAAACATGTGTCTAACACCAGATTCCAAGTTGGGCAAGGAGACTGTGTTATTTGACTCAAGCCTAATTACATGCAGAGGGGAATTAGGAAGGGAACACGGAGAAAAGAGGTAGAGAGTTCAGCATCTGAGAAGATATATGTTAAATACACGTGAATTATATAACAGTCCCTAAATCTCATACACTTATTGCGGAAGATTCTTAATGTGAGCTGGTTTTGTTAATCACTCTCACAATCACCATGGGCTGCGATTTCCATGTCTCCCTAGAAAACAATGGAACACTTTCATCTGGAAAAAGAGAAAGGTGCCCACCAAATGTTTACAAGAAATCACCTATATTTGCTTGATTTATGATAGAATTAGTTAAAAGAACTGAATTCCGCAGGTGGATTTTGTGATCCCAATTAGAGGGGCTTTAGAATGGACCCACAAGTTTTTTAAAGGTTTTTTTGTTTAAATATTTTTTTAAGCTTGCCTGTATTTCTTTGTCCTTCATGTGTGGGCTTCGGGGTTCCATTGTAGGGAAAACAAGAATAGACCCACTGTCTCCCCAATAAGCACGTCATAGAAGTAGACTAACAGAGGGCATCCTTCAAGTTAAGAGTACATCTGCCTCAGAGGCAAGGAACCAAGAGTGTGCACACAAATCAGCCAGATCTGTGAAATGAATGTGCTCCTCGTTGAACTCATGTTCTGGAACAAGACACAGGTGGACAAATACCCAGAACCTTTTCCCAGAGTTTACAGCCGGTGAACGCGAAGAAGAAAGATTATTTCTATGCCTCAGCAGGTTCCAGTATAAAGATAAATATCTCAGCTACACTCCCAAAATCATGTTCACTAACCTCCAGTGTCAACGGCCCACACAGATGTTGCTCCCACTGACACCTGGTGCAGGAGGAAGTTTCCTGGGGGTGGGGGCACTACCTGAAGCCAGCACGTTCCTAGCCAAGTAAATATAAAACAAGAATTAATCTGCGTTTCTAGAAAACAAAAAATGGCTTACTAACTGAGTTAGATATTTAACACACTAACTTTCTGATAAACAGATCATGGTTAAGATTACCATAAAAGCTGAAACACAGTGTAGGTAGCCAGAGCAACAATATGGCAATTATTACCGCTACTCAAGTTAATTAATATCAGTATGGAAATGGGATGCGGCGGTGCTGAACCACACATGATGGTGCACCAGAACAAGGGCTCAGACTGGTCAAGACTTACCTACATGTCTCTGTGGTCATTCTAGAAACAGGTTCCAAACTGGGAGCCTAGCCATCGTAAAGAGGAATAATGTTTCCTCTGAAGTCAAGGAACCAACTGTCTGCACACAAATAAGCAAGACATGTAAAACAGATATGCATGCAAAACTGAAACTCTGAAGCAAGACCCAAGATCAAGAGTTAAGAACAGTAGTGGACACAAAACTAGGACTTTCCGCCAGGGTTTACAGCTGGTGGACATAAAGAAGAAGAAGGGGAATACGGAAACCACAAGCATAATGTTCAACATCAACACTTGCTCTTCTTATAATTCATGCCATGTGTCACTGGTAGTCATGTTTGTCCACAACCTTCTGTCTCATATACTTTCCACCATTTCTGGCACCCAAGTTCCTCCACGACATATTTTAAGACTGTTTAAAGTAGGGCTGTACCGAATATTCGCTTCGTATTCGCTTCGGGGCCGAATAGTGGACCTACTAGCTTTTCGGTATTCGGCCGAATAGTGGCGGTCGGGCCGAATACGAATAGTGATTTCTGCATACACTGCGATGGACTAAAATAACTCTCTCATTAATAATGTCACAATTTATAGCCGACTTTTCTTGATTTTCGCCGCGGCACCCCTGTCATACGCACCCAGTTTTAGAACCTCTACTGTAATGCCTCGGAGTCAGGCGCTGTTACCATGCAAACGGGTCGCCGTTTTTCCCGCTACGAAAGATTTAGGCATCGCTACTGTTGTGTTAAAGAAGGCATGAAGAAACTTGAAAGTGTATCTGTGTGTGTGTGTGTGTGACAGAGAGAGAGAGAGAGAGAGAGACAAAGAGAAAGCATGCATTTTTTTGTTCTTTCGGGGTGTCTTTTCCCAAATCAAATTGAAGATATTGCAAACGAGAATATGAAGGTGCATTTAAATTACATTGAACGAACGCCTGAACGAAAAATGATTTAAATGTGAATTTGGCACATGGATAAAATCAGATGAAAGATGCATTACTAAAATAAAGAACAAAATAGGACAGGCTAAAAATGCATTTTATATTTTTAAAAAAAAGAACATCTTGTGCAATATATCGTTGTCTTGCTTGCTACAAACATCTAGTTTTAACATATGGCTATGAGTCCTGGACAATCGGTAGCCAGGCTAAACAATTTTTTGAGGCCTCAGAGATGTGGTTTTACAGAACAATACTTAAAATACCTTGGACAGCTTAAAAAAGGCAACCACTAGGTTTTGAAAAGGCGGGAGCCCGAAGACAACTAACTTATCGCAGACATCGGAAGAAGACAGTCATCATATAGAAAGAGTGAAAATGGAACATGTGGTGACCACTGGAAAGATTTGTGGAAGGAGAGATAGAAAAAGACAACGAGAGAAGATTCTTGACAGTCGTTGCATGTCATGGAGGTGTGTCAGCACACAAACTGATACATGCTGCAGGAGATCGCAGATTGTGACGAGGCAAAATCGCCACACCAGTCGGCGATGCACCTGATGATGATGATGCACTATTCGTATTTGTATTCGGCCGAATAGTTGGTCCCACTATTCGTATTCGGCCGAATAGTGAAAACCACTATTCGGTACAGCCCTAGTTTAAAGTCTTCTCCCTCATGCTAACATTGTAAGTTTACCAAAATCTTTGTCTTAACTTTTAAAAAACTGTCTACAAACAACATCACATGTCAACCAACAATATTAATAAAGCTTCCATAACTAGCAACAATGGAGATTATTCAATGGAAGTCAGAGGAAGATTGGCCCAAGTAATGCAGAGGTTAAAAAGCATCAAAAGTCTATGGTAGCAAACCAGAAAGCAAAGAACAAGTTTAGAGAACATGCATCTTTCCTTTTAAATCTTGGATCTGAGTAAGAAACCATTTCAAAATTAGTCAAGAAAATAGGTAATGAAAATGGTATTTACCAGTGTGATCATATGGTATTGAAAAAAAATATTTACCAGTGTGAGTATATGGTAATGAAAATGATAATTACCAGTGTGAATGTATTTATCACTGCAATTGTATGGAAATAAAAACATATTTACCAGTGTGATTACATGGTAGAGATGGTATTTACCAGTGCGACTATATGGTAACTAAAATATATTATCAGTGTTGTAGAGAAAATACTATTTACCAGTGTGATTGTATGGACCAACACCAGGTCTAAACCAGGCCGAGCCATCTCCAGCAATACCCCAGACTCTGTAGCTGCCACCTACTGATATTGACTTGAATGGTTTGTCCAGATCTGTGGCCACATGAATCCAACTTTGACCCTGAGAAATGCACAGTGAATCATGGGAACTTATAATGAAAAGATTTCGATTCACTGTTTTCTGACTGTTTGACTGACTGGTAGAATGGAATGTTTACCCTCCGTGCTGCCATGTAAAGATATGAGACATATGCTGGGTTTAGGTTTATTTGACGGATCAACCTCATGGCACCGGCGAGGATCCTCAAATACTTTGGGTAGATTTTTAACTCCAAATCTTGCCTCAGCAGTGTCGTTAGGCTATTCTTTTTGATTTCTAACTGCCAAGGGATTTCTTTACTTGTGCAACAATACACACGGGCGTCCGATCATACTACCCAGAGACCAGGGAAAATTACTGGTAGTCCACGTGAAAAACTCTCAGCCTCCACCGGGGCTTAAACCTGAGACCTCCAGCACTTGGGTACACCATGCCTCAAGACCCATGACACCTATGCAAAATGAAAGAGTCACATCCTGGATCGCAATCCAACAAATAAAAGTTAACCCCTTCAAATTCTTAGGATATTAGAAAAAAGATTACAGTCAAACAATTGATTAACGAGCAACAGATGAATTGTCTGACCAGCTGACAAAAAGTTTGAGGTAACAACTACAAAAGATAATCCTGTTAAAGTCCTATAATGTTTACTGAGCAAGAGAAAGACCATGCAAAAAGGTGGGACAACTGCACCAAGAATAATCGTGCAGAAGAAAGGAGATACTTGTGCAGATCATTAGAAACAGCACATTGAAGATCTTTATATCTCCTCTCAAAACTTTGCTGAGCTAACTAAAGGAAACAAATTAAGAAGACAAACTATGCTATTATATCTGTACTATGTTGTGTTACATGTTGTTAAATCTGTTCTATGTTCTGTTCTTTGTTTTTTTATCTGTTCTATGTTGTTACATCTGTTCTATGTTGTGTTACATGTTATATCTGTTTTATTTTGTATTATATGTTGTTATATCTGTACTATATTGTGTTACATGTTGTTATATCTGTTCTGTTGTGTTATATGTTGTTATATCTGTTCTATTTTGTGTTATATCTGTTCTATTTTGTGTTATATGTTGTTATATCTGTACTATGTTGTGTTACATGTAGTTATATCTGTTCTATGTTGTGTTACATGTTGTGTTACATGTTGTTATATCTGTTCTATTTTGTGTCATATGTTGTTTTACCTGTTCTGTGTTGAAAAAAATCTGTTCTATGTTGTGGTGTATGTTGCTACATCTGTTCTATGTTGTGTTATATGTTGTTATATCTGTTCTATGTTGTGTTATATGCTGTTATATCTGTTTCAAGAAAAGCTGGCGACTTAACCATCAAAGAATGAGTCAATAATGACACTATCAAAGAGGTAGTGAAAACAACATCTTGCACTAATTTCCTCAAAAATTAGCAGATCAAATGATTCGGCTATCTCATTAAAAGGCAGCAACATCAAATAACATCAATGGCACTAAATCTCAGAAGATCAGCTACAAGAGCAAGAGGACGGCCATGAAAAAGTGGATGGCAACACTATAGACACTGTGAGTACCTGGAAATGTTATGAAAAGTAAAAAGGGCCCGTGTGACATTGACAAAATCACCCAATGAGTAAAAGTAGACTAGTTAACAACAACAAAAAATTAGGCTAAAGACAAACGCCTGATGCCCCAGTGGAAAGAAAAAACTATAGAATTGTCCAGAAGAGCAAGAACTAGAACCTTATATCCCCCTTGAAACCCAAAATGGTAACAGAGAAGGTAAAGAAAAGAAGAAGAAGAAGAAGAAGAAGAAGAAGAAGAAGAAGAAGAGTAAGAAAAGAAGACACATGCGTGAAGCATCGATGGAGCAAAAAAGTCCTTAAATTTTACTTTACTATATACCAACTACACAATAAGTTGTGGAAACACATGCTTTTCTTTACATTAAACATCTGTTTTTCACAATAAATTTTTCAGTCTAGTTAATTCTCTGTCTCTCTAATGATTTCACAATAAATACTAAACTCTGATCAGGAAAGTTGATTAGCATAAAGTTTTATATTTTTTGCAGTTTTTGTGTGTGGCTGATGAAGGATTCTCGCCATAACATCCTTTGTTGGTTTGTTGTGACTGAAAGTTGTAAAGTTGACCAGTACTGTATATTTTCTGATTTTTGACATCTTTTTCAGCTTTGACAGTTTCTTCTATTTCTGAGTTTTTCCTTAAAAATGCAGCTAGCAGACTGTGTTGTGGTTTACAGGTAGGCTGCAATTATCTGGCATCTTTTAGCCAAACACATTCAACAAACCAAACTCCACGCAGTCACCTTTGATGACATGTTCATTAGGAGGCAGTGGGTTTATTGATCTTTTCCCTGGCAATGAGACTTTAGAACCCACACATTATTCCTAAAGCATGTGATGACAGTCTCCACTAATTCAGTTCATTACAACTGTAATTTTTTTTAGGTTACCTTTGGGTTAGATGCTGTGACTCCATATCTACAAAGCACATCTCCATTACCTCCAACAGCCCACAAAACTACAGGGTCCAAGATTGAGTTTAAAGGGTCAACCTGAATTGAAAGGTCAACCAAACCTAACGAGCCTGCAGCTTGCCAGGGACCGAAGACAGTTATCTTGTAGTGCCTGTTAGAAGGACAAATGTTAATAAATAGGTTCACATTACATGTCTTAGATACAGAAAAACTAGTCACTGAAGCATAAGATGCCAGAATGGATAGTCATTGAAACTGCTTAGTTTTGTTTGGCTACAATGGGAATCTATAAGGTGAAGGTAGTCGAGCAGTTTACCTCATGCTCTTATATGGATGAGGAGTATTGTCTGGATTCTTTCACTGGGATACGCCGGGGTGCTGGGAAATGAACAGGCGGACAGACTATCTGGCTCTGCACAACCTGGTGGAATACTGATGCATGATAAGGCAGACGTGATTAGTGCCTTGTGAGAGAGCGTGTACAGTTTGGAGGAGCAGATGGATCACCACAGTCTGGGGAGATTGATGCAAGGGGGAGTGTCGAGAGGTTCTGGCAGATGCTCGAGGCACAGAGGAAAGGCAAGACGAACGTTTAATCATTAGTATCGGAACTCTTCACTGGCTGCTGAAAATGGAGATGGAGTGCTTATGGGAATGCCCCGAGTGTTGTGATGTCGGTTCTTGAATCAACTCAACTCGACCTTGTTCTCTAAAAGTTTAGGATTTTGATTTTGGACTACTTTGTTTGGTTCCCAAGTGCAATTTTTGTTCAGATCCTGTGTTGCTAGAACCATGACGTTCTTACTCTGTGCAATGGTTTACCGTTCCAGTATAGTGGATAGGCAGGCTGACTGTTTAATCCTGGCAAGTTGTTTGCTTCTGACCATGGTTTGCTGTTTCATTTCTCCACAATGAGTGGAGTTGAAGTATATGGTTCCATCGCCAAGCTTCTGAGCTAAGTGCACGTGAGCTGTGATATTCATTTACAATTTTCTGAACAGCTCCCGTCTGCTTCGATGTTGGAGCTGAGATTAAATGATTAACTAACTTTGTGTAATGCTCTCAGAGAGTGGCTAACTGTTCCTGGTGAGAGGCTGAGCCATGTGGGATAAAACCCAGGGCAATGTAGCTGATTCTATCAGCTTCATATTTGAAAAACCTCTTTTGTGTGGCTCCATATCCTTTTTTTTTTTTTAAACTCACTATTTTTCTCTTAACTCATCATATTTCATCCTGGTTTTAAATAAACCCACCATATCTCAACTGCAACAATTTAACCATGTCACCCCGGGAAGCTGAAAAACCAACACTTCCAGTTGCGGTCAACTGCCCGTAAATGTCATTTTTCAGATTTGTCTAAAGTTATCTGCTTATAAAACATAGAGTTAATGCTCTTGGTTGAGTTCATGCCTGCACAAATGTTTTTGAGATCAGGATGTGAATATATTAACTAAAAATAGCATTTACGGTTTTTCTTTCAAACTAAATGGTTTTTTTAAAAGCCAGGTTGATGTCAAATTTTCCTGCAAGTCTCAGTGACAGAGGTCAAGAGTTCACAGCATGAGTCACATCACATACATAAATATTTTTGGCCCAGGATTACGCCTTTTAAATATATATATATATATGTATATATATGTATTTATATATATATATATATATATATATATATATATATATATATATATATGTATATATATGTATTTATATATATATTTTGAAAATAAAAACATTTTTTTTAAAAGTACATAAATAAATTTTGTAAAAAAAAAAAAGTATTAGTGACCTTGTTTTAAAATGTTGTTTTTAAAGGATTTATGTCGAGAATTCTTATAGAGTCGAGATTATTTACTATGATTTCTCTTTGTCTCCTTCAGCAGTTACATGAACCTACTGCCAAAAATAAACTCTAAACCTTTAACACACACACACACACACACAAATACACACGCACATATGCACATGCACACAAACTAACAATATCTGCATTTTTTGGGATAGCACCTTAAACTCCACAACAGTCACCTTTTATGACATATAAGTTACGAGACAATGGGTTTATTCTTGTTCCCCCACATTAGGACTTCAGAACCCACACCGGAAGGTCACAGTTCATATGATATATATATATATATATATAAAGTAAGTAAACTGAAGAGCCCTTTCACATCATTGGTGTATTGGGCATATGTTGCTAGACTCAAATTGTGTAGGCAAATCAGCAGTTGACAGGGTCAACACTTTTACTTCCCAGGACTTTACCTGGCAACTATTTTAGCCTGGATCAACCTGGGCAGCACACTCATTTTAACCTCCCCTCTAAAAAAAAAAGATTTAACTGAAGGCGAATTCAAACCTAAGATATTCAGGTAGGTAGGCGAACTCCTAGCACTACAGGACCTCCCCCCCCCCTCCCCACACACACACACATATTTATAAAATGGTACCGTTACTATATTTGTCACTTAGGACTTGTGACTTGTTTAAATTTTGTGGTAAATTACTTTAAAATTACAACTCCTTTGAAATGGAAGTTCAAATCCTCTTCTGCCTGAGACAGATAAGATTTACAAGAACATATAAACATGGCTGAACATTCCGGAAGTCACTGACCTGACCCAGCGTCTCCTCCTGTAGGAGCTTCTCAGATGCTGACGTGGATAAAATGGCCTGAATAAATGAACGAGCAAAACTTTAGAAAGTAGTAAGCAGGTCAAAGGTAGTTGTTATGTGTGGCATCTGTGAGACTAAGCCATTTGGCTCACATTCTGAAGGTTGTAGGTTTCTTTCAGACTGAAGTTTTTATTGGTTTTGTTTCATGAGTGCAGTTTTCACTTAGATCCCTTGGTAACATCACTGGAGCTGTGGACTTCAAGCTTTGTGCACCACTCTTGGCAGGCAGAGAGAGATCGAGCCATTTGAAATTAAAAAGTGGGTGCAATATAGTCACTACTTTATTCTATGCACATTGGGTGGGGTACGGGGGGTGGGGGGACAAATCTGTAGGAGGGCTTAAGCCACAAGTGATAGGAGGAAAATGCTAATTTAAAGGTTAAAGATCAAAAGTCAAGAGGACCAACTTCAGTGCACTGGGTTTTATCCTACATGGTTTAGTCTGAATCCACAGAATGGCCAGCCACTTGCCAAGAGCGCCACACAAAGCACAAACTTTGTAGCTCTTGTGATGATCCTCAGAAATCTCTGTAAAGCTGCGCTCGTGAACTGAAACCATGGGCTTCAGAAAATGAGGCAAATGGCCTAACCACTTTGCCACAAGACTCCCTAAAAAAAAAATTAATGATTAGTCCACTTACAGTATTGGCTTTAATTCCCATACTCCAACATTCACACTTCACCTGTTCAATAATTCTTACTTAATGATAGGTAACCAGTAAGGTAACTATCACTCTGTGCAGGGCTGTTTTGTTGGGCGGCACTTTGACCCATTGGCTATTTTGTCAGGGAGCTGAGTGGTCTCGAGGTATGGTGTCTGCCTCAAGTGCTGGAGGTCCTGGGTTCAAGCCCCGGTGAAGGCTAGGATTTACATGAACTTCTAGTAATTTCCCTTGATCTCTGTGTAGTAAGATCAGACACCCATGTGTATTCTTGCGCACACAAAAAAATCCCTTGGCTGTTGGAAATTGAAAAAAAGTCGCCAGACGGCGCTGCCCAGGCCTAATTTTAAGTTAAAAATCTGCCTAAAGTATTTCAGGATCCTCCCTGGTGCAACGGTGTTAGTGCACTGCACTGAGATTCTTCAGACTCAGGCTTGAATGAGAAGTAGAATGGAGCACTTATGAGTTACATCTGTGTGCCACGATCTTGATTTGTTTAATAAACATAAACAAGTTGCTATCTTGTCAGGAATACAAACATTTCTTACAGTGACTTATGCCTGTGCCATCTAAGAGCTACCTCTTTTCAGTTGGTTTGCCTTTGTTACTCACTAAGGTTCCGTGTTCCCTGTCTTGTGACTCTGAGGTATATACTAAGCTGTAACATCTCATAAATTTCATATATGGATAGCAGTGCAATTAGGTGCCTTATCACTCACATGGCTTCATTTTGCATGTGTTCCAGCATCTTTATTTGGCTGTGAAATCATGTGAGCAGTCCCAAACCATACTGCATTCCTGAAAAAATCAAACGCTGAAAGTGTGTTTAGATCATTCTCTGTTCTATGTCTGCTGATGTCCCAAACTTCAATGCAATGAATTCTTTCTTCATCTTGAAAACCGCCTCTTCCGCACCGTACTCAAAAGATTTGCTCCGGTCAAAAGTTATTGCAGGATATCTCTTCTAATGTTACAGCCATTTACTATGATGTTTGGAACATTGTGTCTAGCAATTCTGTTATTTAATGATCATCCTGATTCCTTATCTCGATCAATGATATAAAAACTAATGAAAACACAGTTCTTTTTTTATGTTGGCAGACTGTGAACTCTGGCAAAAGTCCTGGTTGTTCATCCATATTTAGACTTTAGTCATATTCCAGAACTTGAGTGTTGCACGCACATCCATATTACAGAAGTAGCTTATTCTATGCAGACTGTTGGCTACTCACCTTTCAGGCAGATAACTCTCGTTCTGAAAGAAATGTTGATCCTATTTAGGTCAGTCAGGCCCATAGTAGGGAATCAGTTTCTAGGAGGAGCACGGAGAGGTGAAGATAGGCCTTGACCAGTCTGAGTCCTGGTCCTGGTGCATTATCAACATCTGCACACCAACAATACAGTAACAAGGCTTTTCCAGGTAGACATGAATCTGCTCATGCCTCAAGCGAACATGTCCTACACTGGCAACTTGTACATATGTCTTCTCAATCTGTATTGTCCTAGACATTCCTTGTTAAATTCAAATACTTTACCTCATCTCTTTTATTACAGGTCAAATTGGTAGAGTCATTTATCTTAACCTCTGAAGATTGTAGGTTCCATTTCCAACTCCAACTTTTGGTTAGTAAGTGCAGGTACTTCTAAGATACCTTAAAATTAGCACCAAAACTACAGTTTCATACTTTGTGCTATGATCTCAATGGACAAACAGTTGATATGCAAATAGACTAAGCCAATATGTAATAAAACTCAGTGTGGTGAAGTCAGTCCTCTCGCCTTTAACACCCTCTTTTTATTAAGAGATGTTGATCCACATTTTCACCCTTGCACTGACTCTGACCAAGACCCCCTCCCCCCAACAAATATAGACCTTACTGCAAGTATGTGTTCAAGCAATTTACCGATGATGTAGATAAATCAACAACAGACGTACCCGTAAAGGTTGCTGGAATATTGCCAGCCATGAGCATCAACACCTCCAGGTGTGCTGAAATCAACTGTCCACTCACTGATCTGAAATTCACAACTGATGTTAAACTGAAGACTTAAAATTCAAAACAAATTAAGCATTCCTTCACTGATTTGAAATTCACAATTGATGTTATATTAAACTGAAGACTAAACATTCAAACCATATTAAGTATTCATTTACTGATCTAAAATTTGCAACTGAAACTACATCAAAGTGAACACTAAACATTCAAAACAGATAAATTGTCCATTCACAGATCTGAAATTCACAACTAAAACTTTATTAGATAGAACTAAACATTCAACACAACTACATATTTACTCATTAAGATACTAATGGCAGTGAAAAACAAAACAAAATTGTACAGTTAAAGACCTCGTTACCAACAATGTGTTACCAAAGCCAAACCTAGGCATTAACAAAAGAATAAGAGTGGAAACTAATGACGCATGAAATAAGATGTTTGAGAAAAACAGTCATCAAAATAGTCACCATAACAGGAAGAGGCCATAAAAGAAACAAAGATAGCTTTAGAATGGTGGGAAAATCACCTATAATTAGATTTATTGAAAAACAAAGACTGAAATGGTTTGGCCACCTTGGAAAAATGATTTATATACTGTAATTCATCCATTTAGAAGCAGCAGTAGCAAAGTGCCGGTTGGTTTGAACCTGCATCAGGCATAGTTGGTGAGAAAATTAAACTTGGCTCTCAGGTCGACCCAGCCTAGTACGGGTACAGGTAAAGTCCTGGGAAGTAAAGATGTTGATAACAACACTCATTAAGCAGGCAAAGTCCTGGGAAGTAAAGATGTTGATAACAACACTCATTAAACAGGCAGAGTCCTGGGAAGTAAAGATGTTGATAACAACACTCATTAAACAGGCAAAGTCCTGGGAAGTAAAGATGTTGATAACAACACTCATTAAACAGGCAAAGTCCTGGGAAGTAAAGATGTTGATAACAACACTCATTAAGCAGGCAAAGTCCTGGGAAGTAAAAATGTTGATAACACTCATTAAGCAGGCAAAGTCCTGGGAAGTAAAAATGTTGATAACACTCATTAAGCAGGCAAAGTCCTGGGAAGTAAAAATGTTGATAACAACACTCATTAAGCAGGCAAAGTCCTGGGAAGTAAAGATGTTGATAACAACACTCATTAAACAGACAAAGTCCTGGGAAGTAAAGATGTTGATAACAACACTCATTAAGTACTGATTAGTCTATAAAAGTCTGGTACCATGTGTGTGAAGGGGTCGCCCAATGTCTTGCTGGTAGACGACTTCGTAGTCAGTCGGGACAGTATTTGGGTCTGTCTCCAGTGATAGGGTCGCCCAATGTCTTGCTGGTAGACGACTTCGTAGTCAGTCGGGACAGTATTTGGGTCTGTCTCCAGTGACGAGGTAGCCCAATGGCTTGCTGGTAGACGACTTCGTAGTCAGTCGGGACAGTATTTGGGTCTGTCTCCAGTGACGAGGTAGCCCAATGGCTTGCTGGTAGATGACTTCGTAGTCAGTCGGGACAGTATTTGGGTCTGTCTCCAGTGACGAGATCGCCCAATGGCTTGCTGGTAGACGACTTCGTAGTCAGTCGGGACAGTATTTGGGTCTGTCTCCAGTGATAGGGTCGCCCAATGGCTTGCTGGTAGACGACTTCGTAGTCAGTCGGGACAGTATTTGGGTCTGTCTCCAGTGACGGGGTCACCCAATGGCTTGCTGGTAGACGACTTCATAGTCAGTCGGGACAGTATTTGGGTCTGTCTCCAGTGATCGTATCAACACTACAAGAGTTCTTTTCAGAGCTGCTTTGTGGTTAGCAATGCTAAGCCATTTTGTATGGAGCACATAACTTAGTCACAATTATAACCTAAAACTTACCCTACCCTTTGGGGATGCTGATTAACCATGGCAATTCTTTCCCCAGCAAAGCCGCCGCCACCACCATCATGTGCCTGATGCACCACAAGTGTTAAAAATGTTATTTTTAACTCATCCATATTTTTCAAATATAACCCACAAATATGTTGAAACAGTTACAATTACAGGGGCACTAGAGGTGGAATAACACAACGACATACTCTCTTAAATTACTCCCATGAACAGGTATAGATGAATTCTTACCCACTGACACTTTGATGAGGGAAGTTTAATTTCCTCCTTGACTTCAACACTGCGTCCAAATTCTGTAAGCCAGTGAAAGTCGTGCTGAAAGACTCCTCTGAAATAATGTGCAACCTTTTCTGATTTTTGTTTTCTCTAAATACAGACTAGAGTGGGTCATACATCGTCCATTTAAAAAAAAAAATATTTCAAATTAGCCAAAATTTGTCATATGGTATCTACCATGTAAGATAAAATGCTTGGAAAATTAGGACAAAACATTATTTTACACTGTTTCAGGCAAAACGAGTGGATTAAACTCTAATGTATATGAAACTCTAATGTAGATTAAATTCCTAAGTGTATATAATTTTATGCCACTTAACTGAATAACAAACACACAATTTACACAGTGACTTTCTTCATCAGCACAACTGTCGAAGAATAGACATAATTAAACACATTAAAATGCAGTTATATTATATAAACATCTCCATCCCAGCTGGTCCCAAGGCAGAATGAGAAAGGAGAATGGTTGGGGGAACAAATGCCAGAGACAACAGTTGAACATTAAATGGGATGAAATCAGGAAAAGCTAATAAATATGAGAAGACAATTTCTGATATAAACAGTTTTAAGAGAAAGACAACAATGATATCAGGCATAATCTGAGATAAAGGGAGCAAAGATTCACAAACAGGCATGTAAACTAATAGTTCTGAAAAGAAAAAACAGGATGCCCCCCCCCCCTCCCCCTAACACACACACACATACAAATATTAAATTATACATCTAGATTTTCTATTCTGTATCTAGAATATCTACTAATGTGTAAAATAATAGTTTAGGACCAAATGTGAAGTGGTAGGACACATAAAGTTGTTGGAAAATTTGGTAACCCCTTTTCTGACACCAATTTCCATCCAGTTTGCTCCAATATATCAATGTATACCAGTTTTTTCAGTTCATCTTAAAGAAGGTAGCATCTCAATATACCAACAAACTCTGTATCTAGAGTGTCTGTTCATGTGTCAAATAACTGTTCGGTAATAAATGTCTGCTGGTAGGATACCAACAGTTTCTGGGCCAAATTTCACAGAAATATTTGTTGTTCCCCCCCCCCCCCTCCCCCTCATTTTTCTGCCACCAATTTGCTCCAAAATGTCCAACAGGTCATTTAGATTATCTATTAATGTGTGAAACTATAGTCTGAGACAAAATGTTTTGTAATTTTTTTTTTTTTAATGTCAGTTTTTAGCAAACCTGACAAGTGCTTGCACCTGTGGAAAATGTTAGGCATTTTTTGGCCCACATTTTTAAATTTTTAACTTTTGAGTATTGTCAAATTTTGGGAAAACTACAATAATGAAAGAGCAGCAATTGAATCAAAAGGAGTGAAGGAATCGACTGTGAGCCCTTAAGAATGTACAAACAGCACAGCAGGATGATGATGATGTCATATAAATAGATTATTATATATGTAGGAAAAAAAAGGATGGGGGGGGGGGGGGGGGGGGGGGATATTCTCTTATTTAAAAAAAAGTAAACTGGCATACTTGCAGCACCAACCGACGACAGGAAACCACTTCTGATTTTCATAAACAAAAACGCGATGATGGTCAACAATTTGCTGTGTGTTCTCGGACATATCACTCATGCCTGAAATAAAGAGAAATATGCATCTTTCAAAGAGGACACACGAATACAGACACAAGCTGAAGTGAACTTTTTTACTTTTCTTCAAACAATGTGTGGAAACATGTCACAGTTATAGCAAACAAGTAAACAGAGTCTCAAAGGGTCACAAATGGGGACCTCTGCAGATGAAGCCATCCTAACCATTCGTCTTTCACGCACCAATGATATTTCAGGCATAATATATGTTATGTTCAGATACACAATGGGATATATTGTGTGGCACAAGTGAAGACTCCAGTATCGTTGGTGAATTTGAGTTCATCTGTACTTGTTATTTAACTAGTACTTTGTATGTTACATCATCTAACTAACACTTTGTTACACTACCTAATCAGTACTTTATATATAACACTATCAAACCAGTACCGTATATCACACAATCTAATTAGTACCTTATATGTTACACTATTTAATCAGTACCTTATATGTTACATTTATAAATAGTACCTTATATGTTACACAATCTAACTACTACCTCATATGTTACATTATCAGTATAGTATATTATATGATATCCTTTCTTATCACACCTGATATGCAGCCATATTTAACTGTGCCTTTTTTGTCACAGTACATAACCAGTATCTCATATGTTACCCAGTGTAACTTGTATTACCCTACATAACCAGTATCTCATATGTTACCCAGTGAGACTTGTATTACCCTACATAACCAGTATCTCATATGTTACCCAGTGAGACTTGTATTACCCTACATAACCAGTATCTCATATGTTACCCAGTGAGACTTGTATTACCCTACATAACCAGTATCTCATATGTTACCCAGTGTAACTTGTATTACCCTACATAACCAGTATCTCATATGTTACCCAGTGAGACTTGTATTACCCTACATAACCAGTATCTCATATGTTACCCAGTGAGACTTGTATTACCCTACATAACCAGTATCTCATATGTTACCCAGTGTAACTTGTATTACCCTACATAACCAGTATCTCATATGTTACCCAGTGAGACTTGTATTACCCTACATAACCAGTATCTCATATGTTACCCAGTGAGACTTGTATTACCCTACATAACCAGCCTCTCATATGTTACCCAGTGTAACTTGTATTACCCTACATAACCAGTATCTCATATGTTACCCAGTGAGACTTGTATTACCCTACATAACCAGTATCTCATATGTTACCCAGTGAGACTTGTATTACCCTACATAACCAGCCTCTCATATGTTACCCAGTGAGACTTGTATTACCCTACATAACCAGTATCTCATATGTTACCCAGTGAGACTTGTATTACCCTACATAACCAGTATCTCATATGTTACCCAGTGAGACTTGTATTACCCTACATAACCAGTATCTCATATGTTACCCAGTGAGACTTGTATTACCCTACATAACCAGCCTCTCATATGTTACCCAGTGAGACTTGTATTACCCTACATAACCAGTATCTCATATGTTACCCAGTGAGACTTGTATTACCCTACATAACCAGTATCTCATATGTTACCCAGTGAGACTTGTATTACCCTACATAACCAGTATCTCATATGTTACCCAGTGTAACTTGTATTACCCTACATAACCAGCCTCTCATATGTTACCCAGTGAGACTTGTATTACCCTACATAACCAGTATCTCATATGTTACCCAGTGAGACTTGTATTACCCTACATAACCAGTATCTCATATGTTACCCAGTGTAACTTGTATTACCCTACATAACCAGTATCTCATATGTTACCCAGTGAGACTTGTATTACCCTACATAACCAGTATCTCATATGTTACCCAGTGTAACTTGTATTACCCTACATAACCAGTATCTCATATGTTACCCAGTGAGACTTGTATTACCCTACATAACCAGTATCTCATATGTTACCCAGTGAGACTTGTATTACCCATATGATACCCAGTGTAACTTGTATTACCCTACATAACCGATAGTCGCATGGTTTTGGCGGCTAGACGCCTGCCTGCGATTGGAAGGTCGTTGGTTTGCGTCCTGACGGAGCAGGTCTTTTTATAAAAATGACATTGACTCCCAGGTCGACCCAGCCTTGAGTGAGTACCAGGTGCAGTCCTGGGAAGTAAGGGCGGCCAGTGTTATGCTGACCACAACACCCATCAAGTACTGATTGGTCTATACAAATATAGGTCTAGCCCTATATTCCCAATATGCTTAAAGGGGTGGAAAAGTGACCTTTACTTTTACTTTACTTACCTACCCTACATAACAAGTATCTCATATATCATCTTTCCTTACTAGTGCATGTTTATTATGATACTCCATCTAAATAGCATTTCATACGTTACCTGAATTAATCAGTAATCCAAAGTAACTCAGCCCCATACCTCGGACTAAAGAAATTCAAACTGACTAGCATATGTCGCATCAGATATCCTTATCAAAACTCACCAGTACTGAAGGCACCACCATATCCACCATTGTATACGTAAGGCATTTTGTCGAAGCCGAGGGCCCAGGTGACGCCACTAGGTCCCGTCTCTACCAGACGCATATGTCCTCCATGCTGGCCCCAACATCTAGAAACATTAAATGTGAGTCACATAACATGCTTTAACATACTTTCTTGGAGATGACAATATTTAACTCTTTCACAGAAGATAATATTTAGCTCTTTCAGTACTAAGCAGTGGTTACTTTAAATATTTAAAGGCTGAATTAAAAGTAAAAAAAAAGCTTTGGTTTGAACTTCAGCAGAAATACTATGCGGCAGACGTAAAGTTAATGACCCTTTTCCACAGTGATAGACCTATGTTTATTAACCAATATTTTATAGATCAATATTTTACAGACCAATATTTTACAGACACAATTTTACAGACCAATATTTTACAGACCAATTTTTTACAGACCAATATTTTACAGACCACAATTTTACAGACCAATATTTTACAGATCAAACAACATTCAGTTTGTGATGTGATCAACAATATGCCAGCCGCCTTCACTTCCCAGGATTTTGCATTGTACCCATTTCAGGCTGGGTCGACCTGGGAGCAAAGGTCATTTGTGAAAAAGTCCAGCTTCATTCAGATTTGAACCTAAGACCTTCAGAGCCGCAGGTGAGAAACTAGCTGCTACACTACAGTGGCTGCCAGGGGTAAGAAACAGCTGAGTTACAATTTAAATATAAATGGTTGATACAAACTCTCTCTCTCTCCGTGTGTGATGGAAGACAGCAAGAATATTATGTTAGCTTTGCAAATACCTAGAAATGTATGGTGAGTTTGAAAAAAGAAGACAAACAATAGATTGCACAGTTTAATGCCTGGCATATTTTGTTGTACTTCATCAGGTGCATTCTGCAGTAACAATTTATTAAAATGAAGCGAATAAATGAACTTCCAATTGAAACACTCAGCAAAATTTTACACTGTGCCCAGAATTCAAAATTTACACTGTGCCCAGAATTCAAAATTTACAATGTGCCCAGAATTCAAAATTTACACTGTGCCCAGAATTCAAAAGATGGCACAGAATGGGTGGTGAGTAATATTTTCGACCAGTCTTTTATCCACTACTTTTGTGTTTAAGTTAGAATTATTCATTTATTGACTTCACTGTAGTCAATTATTAATGTTGTATGCACCTGATGAGATACAGCAAAGTATGTCAGGCAATAAATTTTGCAATCTTTTTTTTGTGTGTTCAAAATTGCTTTGATTTTCTGAAATGTATGGTGAGTTGTCACATTTTAAAATAGTTATAAAAGACAATTGCCATCATCTTACTTCTTCAAATATGTATCTATGAATAGAGCATAAGCTTTGAAACAACTCACAGGCTGTGGTCAGCATCCTACCAACCCCCTCAACTCACAGGCTGTGGTCAGCATCCTACCAACCCCCTCAACTCACAGGCTGTGGTCAGCATCCTACCAACCCCCTCAACTCACAGGCTGTGGTCAGCATCCTACCAACCCCCTCAACTCACAGGCTGTGGTCAGCATCCTACCAACCCGCTCAACTCACAGGCTGTGGTCAGCATCCTACCAACCCCCTCAACTCACAGGCTGTGGTCAGCATCCTACCAACCCCCTCAACTCACAGGCTGTGGTCATCATCCTACCAACCCCCTCAACTTACAGGCTGTGGTCAGCATCCTGCCAACCCCCTCAACTTCTCAGGAATTTTCTGGTACCTGTTAAAGGTTGGGTTGACCTGTAAGTATGAGATCTACTATCCAAAATCTACCTTCCCTATATGTGATTAGCAAGTGACTGCTCAGTAGCTTGGCATGCAATGATGCTGTCAGGTCTTAAGGTGTCAGTGACTCCACAAATCCATCTTCTTCTAGGTCTCACTGCCTCTGGGTGTTTCCATTTTCCAGTGTATGATATTGCTGCCAACACTGCTGGGTTTATTCTCACTAAGTGGCTGAACCATTTCAGTCTTTGTGTCTCAATTAATTGAATGATAGGTATGTTCCAAAAATTTTTCTAAACATTTCATTTATCCCACCATCTCTTGTGGTTTTGTTTGCAGAACTTTTCAAACATCTCATTTAATTTGTTTTCTTTAGTCTTATTTAAAGGAAACCTTTCCATGCCTTCAGTCGTAAGGGTCATGTCGGGATAGACCAATCCTTGATAGACCAATCCTTGATAGACCAATCCTTGATAGACCAATCCTTGATAGACCAATCCTTGATAGACCTATCCTTGATAGACCAATCCTTGATAGACCTATCCTTGATAGACCAATCCTTGATAGACCTATCCTTGATAGACCAATCCTTGATAGACCAATCCTTGATAGACCAATCCTTGATAGACCAATCCTTGATAGACCTATCCTTGATAGACCAATCCTTGATAGACAAATCCTTGATAGACCAATCCTTGATAGACAAATCCTTGATTGATAGACCAATCCTTGATAGACCAATCCTTGATAGACCAATCCTTGATAGACCAATCCTTGATAGACCAATCCTTGATAGACCAATCCTTGATAGACCGATCCTTGATAGACCAATCCTTGATAGACCAATCCTTGATAGACAAATCCTTGATAGACCAATCCTTGATAGACCAATTGGTGCTCAGTGGGTGATGTGGTCAGCATCATGCTGGCCATCTTTACTTCCCAGGAATATACCTAGTTAGTTGTACCCAGTGAAGCCAACGCCATTTTTGAAAAAAGTCTGGCTCCGTCAAGACCTGAACCCAGGACCTTCCAATCTACAGGCGAGCAACTAGCTGCAACATCATGGGAGCTTCACCCAACATGTTGATTTCAAGTTTTAAAAAAATTTAAAAACAGACAACTCACTGCTCTGATGGACTCTTGCACGCTGATGAGGCTGGGCTGATGAAGACGTCCCCTGAAAATGTGCACGACCATATGGCACCAGGAGTAGCAGAGCAGTTCATGCCCCAAGCAGCAGCATTTGCTGCACTCAGGCAACCCATCTGTGTTTGAGAACATGAAGTATACTTAGCTTCTTAAGTTGACTCTGGCTCCGAGACACCACTAATCTGGCATCACCATCCGTCACAAATCTCTAAGAAGCTGCTAAATCGACATTGCTGAATTGGCCTGTCCTCAACAATTCTGGCTGAGAGCACAGGTTGTTTGTGTCTGTCTGCACAGGTTGTTTGTGTCTGTCTGCACAGGTTGTTTGTGTCTGTCTGCACAGGTTGTTTGTGTCTGTCTGCACAGGTTGTTTCAGTCTGTCTGCACAGGTTGTTTGTGTCTGTCTGCACAGGTTGTTTGTGTCTGTCTGCACAGGTTGTTTGTGTGTCTCTGCACAGGTTGTTTCAGTCTGTCTGCACAGGTTGTTTGTGTCTGTCTGCACAGGTTGTTTGTGTCTGCACAGGTTGTTTGTGTCTGTCTGCACAGGTTGTTTGTGTCTGCACAGGTTGTTTGTGTCTGCACAGGTTGTTTGTGTCTGTCTGCACAGGTTGTTTGTGTCTGCACAGGTTGTTTGTGTCTGCACAGGTTGTTTGTGTCTGTCTGCACAGGTTGTTTGTGTCTGTCTGCACAGGTTGTTTGTGTGTCTCTGCACAGGTTGTTTGTGTCTGTCTGCACAGGTTGTTTGTGTGTCTCTGCACAGGTTGTTTGTGTGTCTCTGCACACGTTGTTTGTGTCTGTCTGCACAGGTTGTTTGTGTCTGTCTGCACAGGTTGTTTGTGTCTGCACAGGTTGTTTGTGTCTGCACAGGTTGTTTGTGTCTGCACAGGTTGTTTGTGTCTGTCTGCACAGGTTGTTTGTGTCTGTCTGCACAGGTTGTTTGTGTCTGTCTGCACAGGTTGTTTGTGTCTGCACAGGTTGTTTGTGTCTGTCTGCACAGGTTGTTTGTGTCTGCACAGGTTGTTTGTGTCTGCACAGGTTGTTTGTGTCTGCACAGGTTGTTTGTGTCTGCACAGGTTGTTTGTGTCTGTCTGCACAGGTTGTTTGTGTGTCTCTGCACAGGTTGTTTGTGTGTCTCTGCACACGTTGTTTGTGTCTGTCTGCACAGGTTGTTTGTGTCTGCACAGGTTGTTTGTGTCTGTCTGCACAGGTTGTTTGTGTCTGCACAGGTTGTTTGTGTCTGCACAGGTTGTTTGTGTCTGCACAGGTTGTTTGTGTCTGCACAGGTTGTTTGTGTGTCTCTGCACAGGTTGTTTGTGTCTGTCTGCACAGGTTGTTTGTGTGTCTCTGCACAGGTTGTTTGTGTGTCTCTGCACACGTTGTTTGTGTCTGTCTGCACAGGTTGTTTGTGTGTCTCTGCACAGGTTGTTTGTGTCTGTCTGCACAGGTTGTTTGTGTCTGCACAGGTTGTTTGTGTCTGCACAGGTTGTTTGTGTCTGCACAGGTTGTTTGTGTCTGTCTGCACAGGTTGTTTGTGTCTGTCTGCACAGGTTGTTTGTGTCTGCACAGGTTGTTTGTGTCTGTCTGCACAGGTTGTTTGTGTCTGTCTGCACAGGTTGTTTGTGTCTGCACAGGTTGTTTGTGGCTGTCTGCACAGGTTGTTTGTGTCTGCACAGGTTGTTTGTGTCTGCACAGGTTGTTTGTGTCTGCACAGGTTGTCTGTGTCTGCACAGGTTGTCTGTGTCTGCACAGGTTGTTTGTGTCTGCACAGGTTGTTTGTGTCTGCACAGGTTGTTTGTGTCTGCACAGGTTGTTTGTGTCTGCACAGGTTGTTTGTGTCTGCACAGGTTGTCTGTGTCTGCACAGGTTGTCTGTGTCTGCACAGGTTGTTTGTGTCTGCACAGGTTGTTTGTGTCTGCACAGGTTGTTTGTGGCTGTCTGCACAGGTTGTTTGTGTCTGCACAGGTTGTTTGTGTCTGCACAGGTTGTTTGTGTCTGCACAGGTTGTTTGTGTCTGCACAGGTTGTTTGTGTCTGCACAGGTTGTCTGTGTCTGCACAGGTTGTTTGTGTCTGTCTGCACAGGTTGTTTGTGTCTGCACAGGTTGTTTGTGGCTGTCTGCACAGGTTGTTTGTGTCTGTCTGCACAGGTTGTTTGTGTCTGTCTGCACAGGTTGTTTGTGACTGCACAGGTTGTTTGTGTCTGCACAGTGTTTAAAAGGGCTAG